TATAACATTTCGTAAATTAAGTGCCCTGTGCGGTAAATAAATACATTCGAAACAAAATATAAAACTTCGAATTTCGTTGCACACAAAGCAGTGCTAATTAATTAGTTTCAAAGAGGCTTGTAACACACAGGCACCAATGTGATACAGTTGTCCGATGCTGATAAAATTTGGAATATAAGTTAACATGGGCCAACGACACCAGCTACAGTTTCTGATATAGCACTGTGCCGGATTTTCTTACGAGCTAACAGGGGTCAGCAAAATGCAATATAACACCAGCCACAGATGCTGACATAGCTCTGGGCCGGATGTTCTTGCACGACGGTAGCATACGAGGTGCAAGCTTAGCATTCTAGCGGCCGTTGTGAAAAGCACACAATAGCTTGGGTCATTTTGATCAATCTTTTGTAAATTTAATTTTTAATCCGGCTTTCACTGAGGCACATCGGCCCAGCGACTTCGCGCGTAAATTAACTCACTCGCTACGGCGCATCGGCCTAGAGTTTTTTAAATATTATAAAATAATAAAATAATTAAAATAAAGTATAATAACGAAAATCCACGAGGACTTCTTATTTAAATCTTATATTATATATGAGGAACATAGAAAAACTAATAAATGTCGAGCTTAGTCAAGATATCTTGATAAACAAAATGTTTTATTATACAACAATTTAATTTCAGACCGATCGTTCCTATGGAACCTATATGATATAGTGGTCCGATCTATTAAGATATGATTTTGCCTATATTTGAGGAGTAAAGTAAAACCACTAAATGCCGAGTTTGGTCAAGATATCTTGAAAAAACAAAATGTTTTTTCATTCAACAACTTAATTTTCGACCGATCGTTCCTTCGGAAGGATCCTTCGATCCAGCTTTTGACACATGTTCTGCGTGCAACAGAAAGAGGGACTTCTGCAAAGTTTCATAAAGACAGCCTTAAAACTGAGAGACTAGCTTTCATCGAAGCAGATAGACGGACATGGCTATATCGACTCGGCTGTTAATGCTGATCAAGAATATATATACGTGATGGGGTCGGAGATGTTTCTTTCTATGCGTTAAAAATTTCACGACAAAATTATAATACCCTCTGCAACGATATAAAAAGGGTATAATGTATTTGTGCAAATGTCTGGCAAAAGGAAATATCTCCGACCCCATACATACATTATTGATCAGCATCAATAGACGGTTATTTCGTCTGCCCGTATGCATGAACGCAAGAAGCTCAGAACCTAAAAGAGCCAGATACTTTAAATTTTGAACTTAGGTGCTCCAAGCGCTCGCGCAGTATGAGTTTGCTTTTGATAATCGATAGCTTGCCCCGATCCAATAAAAGCTGATATCGAAATCATTTATGTTTGTACGGCCAGAGTCACCAAACTTTCCATGTAGCTTTTGGAATAGTATATATATAGGTTACAGAGCTTGAGTCAGCATGGTATATAATTAGATTTTTTTTTATTTACTGTGAGCTTTAGTCTTATATGAACCGCGCACAGCTCTAACGGTTAAATTGAATTAAAGACAACGCGATATTTCACGACGAGTTCGTTTATTGAAGAACAACTTAAGACTGAGATTCAGTAGAATTTATTTTATGTTGAGAAGCTTATTCCTACGTAAAGACGCGCAGCTGCAATTATCTGAGTGAGGTGTCTATTGCTTTGTGTAACTGTACAAGTGCAGCTAGTACAGTTTTTAATTGCTTTGCTTATCTGTATAGATGCAGCTGCAATTATCTGAATAATGTTTTATTGCTTTGCTTAACTGTATTTATGGTTTTCCAAGCGATAAGCGCTTGCAGATTCGCAGCTGCAATTATGCTGCCTTCTTATATTTGTCACTATAACTGTGGATACGTGTGAATATGCCACTATATATATATATATATGTATATATATGATTTTAATATCGACCTTCCGCCACCACTGCATAGGTATATATCAAGTAAATAAACCCATTTGTATTGCCCACCCATTTAACCTACAATTTACATACAATCTTATTTGAATATACGAATATTTGATATATTTAAATTTCATTAAAATCGGTTAAGAAAACCAAAAGTTATGAACGAAAACGGCTCCCACGTGTTGTCGATTAATAAGAAAGAATTCCCTCTCTTAAAATACATTGCGGACGAAGAAGAGTTGGTACAGACGATAAAAGAAAAGGAAGCTCAAGAGTCAGCACGCACGAAATTCTCTTCATTAGTTAAAGAATACAAAACGAAGAACATAAAAACAAAAAACACAAGGGATCGAACAATACTGGACACAGTGGAACAGACACGTACATTCTTACAAGAAAATAACAACAAAAACAATAGCAATGGATAACGAAGACTACAAAAATAACAAGTAGGAGGTTCTAGTCGGGAGCTCCCGACAGCAAATGCATATATATATATACATTCTGCTTCAGAAGCTATATATTAAGTTTGGTGACTCTAGCTCTTATTATTTACCAAAATTGCCCAAAAAGCAGGATATCGATATCGATTTTTATCGATTGCTTGGAAACGGAGTAAGTTATCGATTATCTAAATAAACTCGATCAGCGCAGGCACTAGTAGCACATACATCTAAAATTTCAAGTTTCTAGCTCTTATAGGTTCTGGGATCCTTGCGTTCATAAATACGGACAGACGTACAGACGGACGAACAGACAGACGGACATTTCTAGATCGACTCGGTTATTGATGCTGATCAAGAATATATATACTTTATGGGAGGAGATACTTCCTTCTGCCTGTTACATATATTTGAATTTTGCACAAATACAATATGCCCATTTTTAATGGGTTCAGGGTATAAAAAGAAAAATATTTTATAGCCTCTGTCTTCTACACACAGTCCTAAAATTGTGACATTTTTGCAATATGTTTGAAATGCGGCCTGTCCATTTCCCCATAAGAAAATACATTTTACACATCTTTTAAAAAAGGCACATCTTTCAAAATCATTCAAAAATGCCACATTTTTAAAAACTGTGTAGTTCGCCTTGAACATTTCGTGTTTTTTGCGATGATTCATCGATTCATCGAAGGCAAACGGCACCTTTAAATAAGAAATTAAAATTTAGAAAAATCATACTGTTTTTTTAATTTATTGGCGAAATATGGAAATGAGTACATAAAATGGAACCTTTACACGAGAGCGCAATTTTTGAGTTCTGGAAGAAAAACGTTACGGAGTCTGTCCGTATGTATGAACGCAAAGATCTCAGAACCTATAAGAGAAATTTTAAATGTAGGTGCTCCTAAAGCCTGCGCAGATCGAGTTTGTTTCCGATAATCGATAACTTACTCCGTTTCCAACAATCGACAAACATCGACTTCGATATCCTGCTCTTTGGGCAGTTTTGCTAAATAATAAGAGCTAGAGGCCCTGAACACGGTTGCCGAATTGCAGCAGAAATATAATGGTCAAATTCAAACAAAACTGAGCTTTCGATTAGTTTTGAATACAAATTTCCAGACCTCGATCAAGCCAAAAAACAAATTATTGGTTTAATTTAAGCAATATTACGATGTTTTCCAATCACTGTAGTCATAGTACAAGACGTAACCTAGGTTTTCATTGAATACTTATGGTCTGTTCATTTAAATTTTAACTAAAAGTTTTTATTTACCACTACAAGCGCCACTACAAAGATAAGCCACCCGCCAAAAATAAAGCGAATGGCAAATTTGTAGATGAGCCCATTACGAAGCTCCAGGAAACCATACTATATTGCAGAAGTCATACCGATCTAGAATAGAGTCGTTCTAGATATACGCGATACAGGCAACAAACGTCTCAGGCAACAAGCACAATTACAATTACATAAAGCGGACATACACACGAACCTCACCCTGCCATATTAAACCACATGCCGACCAACACGAGGCCCAGCATAAAGAGCACGGTACTTAAAAAGGAGATGTGAGATAGAGAGGGCATATAAAGGGACACCTACCTATCCACTGCTGGAATCAGCAAATATAGACCACAAGAAGTTTAATGCCTTTTAGTTAGACAACGCAACCAATGGGTGAACAGTGGACACGATTGCGGGGAAATGCAGGTTGTCTACAGAACGACAAGGGTAACGCTTAAGAAAACCATATATTGTTGCAAATACGGATCCTACAAGAGCAAACCGCAAACTTATTATGCTAAATATATGCAGAACTAGGGTACAGTTATAGTCCCCATGTTCTTTCGCAACCAACGCAGCACATACCCACAACACATGCCGCAATGGGTTCGGTATAACGAACGGGTGCAGATGAGGTTATACAGGTCCCACAAAGCCTCAAGAACTCAAAGGGTACCAACAAAAGTGCTGAGACTGATAGTTGTCAGATAACTTTGAAGAAATGCTGCGCAAACAACATATAGACTGGACATCAGTGTAGGCAAGTAGACGCAAAAAGTATCGGTGGCATCTGGCCTAAAATCGAGAGTAAGGAAGTAAGATATACATATGATGTATTTTCTAACCGCTTACTCTACAGGAAAATGCTTGGTGCACTCTCTTTCGTATGATATGTGCGATAGAACGGAAAACGCTGTTAATTTTTATCTCGCTCGCACTTATTCTCAGCTCTCAATGCCTTCTCTTTATGTTTAGGGGTTGTTTATATATAAGTGTGTGTGTATGTCTTCGACAAGCAACTCAGCTAACTGGTTTTGAATTATACGCGCGCCGCAAGGTTCAGTCTTAGGACGTTAATTGTGGATTGTAATGTATGACGCAGTACTCTTTTTCGACATCCCACAGACATAGCAGATGTGACACTCAGCAAGGATTTTCCTGCAAAGAATCAGAAAATGAATATTAATTTGCCAAGGAATGAAATTGCTGCTACCCAATGGCCTAACACTGGTTGCTCACAAGACAAGATATTAAGAAAAAACTTTGACCAAACACTACCAAGAAAGACAGTTAAGTTTTAAAATTGAGTAAGAAATCAAAATAGTTGAGATAATTAAAAACCAACTTACCTATTAGGTCCAGTTTAGTTTGGGTAACTATGCGGCGAAACCTAGCTGAAGGTGGGCTGGCTATTTGTATTTCAACAACAAAATCTTTTTTCTCAACTGCTTTTTCGATCGATCTAAATTAAAAAACAAATAAACAAACAAATCACCACTGTTAAATAAATTCACATTGTAAAACGTTTTTGGAATTTTATATATTGTTATTAAATCAAATGCATACATACAAAAACGCTAAACATAAGCGAAAACGCAAGTCAGGCCACGACCAAATTTGAAATGATCGATCACTTATCCTCTTCAGGTCTTAAACGCTGACCAAGCACTATAAGGTAATCGCAGAGAGCGCTGTGTACAGAAAGCACGAGGCTAAAAGATATGTGTAAGCACACTATCGCTCTTTATAAGTATGCTAGCCATTAATAAATTATGTTAAGCTAAAATTATATGAAACAAATAAGAGTTCTAGTTGGGAGCTCCTGAATAAGGAATACCCTGAACCCTCTTATTCCAACACCAAACAATTAAAAACAAAGTAAGAGGTTCTAGTCGGGAGCTCCCGACTAAGGAATACCGTGCACCCTCTTATTTCAACACCAAATAAATTAATAAAAAATGGTTCCCTTGGTTCAAACTCGCAACTGACCGCATTACTTGCTGTCGACTCTACTCAGCAGCTACACCAGCAAAAGAAAAAAAAAATTCCTTTCCCCGGTAGGGCTCGAACTCGCGACAGACCACACCACTTGCTATGCCTCTACCCCTAACCAAACAACATATTGACTGGACATCACATAGAAGAAAAGTTGGCACAAAAAGTATCGGTGGCACCTGGTCCAAAATCGCGAGTAAAAGAGTAAGATATACATATGATGTATTTTTGAACCGCTTACTCTACAGGAAATTGCTTGGCGCACTCTCTTCCAAATGATTTGTGCGATAGAACGGCAACGCTGTTAATTTTTATGTCACTCGCACTTCTCTCAGCTCTCAATGCTCTCTCTTTATGTTTAGGGACCGTTAAAATGTGTGTGTGTGTGTGTATGTGTCCGACAAGCAAAACTGCGCACAAATTCTATTTTTCTCAAATGATGAGGCATTTCTACCCTTTTGAAGGCACGAGTAATATGAAATAGAGAAAGGGTTTGCCACGTCTCAATCAAATCACCATCAAATCGTTAGAGCCTGTCGACGTGAATTACGACAAGGCGTTGGAGTTACTCATAAAGCGTTTTGATAATAAGTTGCTACATTTGCAGGGTCACGTGCGGGCTATAGTCGGGCTGCCAGGTGTTGAAAAGGGGTCAGCAGAGGCGTTGCGTGAGTTGAGTGACAAAATTAACTCGCATCTTCGGGCGCATAGCACCATGTCAACAAGTGAGGAGCTGGCTGACGGATTACTCATACACACAATATGCTTGTGCGAGCTCGATCACCACACCCAGGAAAAGTGGCAGGAGGCGCTTGCAACGGATAAGCTACCCAGGTCGACGGATATGTCGGCATTCTTAGAAAAGAGATGCCGCATGATGGAAAACTTGAAAGGCGCTATGGCACCTACGCCTAGCCACCAGGTTACCAGAAATGTACAAAAATTGAATCGTAACACATTCATTGCATCCTCATCTAACAATTATCAGCAAAATTGTAATTTTTGCGACTTAAAAGAGCATTTTCTTGTTAAATGCCCGTTGTTTTTGAGTCTGTCCCCAAGTTTGCGCCACAAGGAGGCCAAGCGATTGCATCTTTGCCTAAGCTGTTGCGCAAAGGAAATGGCTTGCAGCAATGTCGCTCAGGTCACTGCAGGCATTGCCAACAAAAACATCATTCGTTGCTGCACATGAGCCTCATCACAACTCAATCATCTGCCCTGTGTACACCAAGCTTGCAGGCTGCAACCACGATCCATCCTCACGCATCGTTTTTAAGTAATCCACCATCTTCAACTCTCGTCAGAACTGCTCTTGAATTCGCACCTGAAGCCACGAATGCCCAGCCTGTAGACTATGGGGTGCTTTCAACCGCCATCTAATATGCCAAGAGCCACTCAGGTGTATTCATACCCTTCCGCGCATTACTGGATTCTGGATCTCAACTCAACTTTATTACTCCTCGTCTAGTAAAGTAGCTCCAACTCAAAACTCATCATGCTGCCGTATCAATACCTGGTATAGGCGAATCAACCCTATCTTCTAACATGTCCACTGACATATCAGCGCAGTCACGTGACAGGAGCTTCAGCACATCATTTTCAGCAGTCGTTACTCGCAGTATAACGGATTATCAGCCCCACTTTGGGTTAGACATCTCTGGGTGGAATATCCCCAAAAACATCTCGCTCGCGGATCCAACGTTTTTCAAATCTCAAAGAATAGATTTATTACTTGGTTCCGGACTATTTTTCGATCTCATTTGCATCGGCTAAATTCGAATGGCGAATAACATACCAACGCTCCAAACGACCAAGCTCTCGCGTACACAACAAACACACATCCCTTTCAGCCCTTTACAAGGAATCTAATCCATGGGAGGATCCACTCTCGGATATTGTAAAACGATTCTGGGAAGTCGACAATTGCTGCGGTACAACCCCTGAGCTCTCTGATGAAGACGCTCTATGTGAGCAGCTATTCCTCCAAGGCTACACGCGACTAAAGTCAGGGCAGTATTCATTTAGGCTTCCAGCAAAGCTCAGCTTCGACATGCTAGGAGACTCATATCAACGTGCTGTACGACATTTCAAGTTGCTCGAAAACAAATTGGACAAAAATCACCAGCTGAAGGAGAGCTACTCTGCATTCATGTGCGAATACATCGACTTGAGCCACATGTCTTTCGCTTCCAAGCAGCAGCTTGACCCACAATTCTATTTACACCACCACTGCGTAGAAAAGCCAGATAGCTCAACCACCAAATTGCGCGTCGTTTTTTTATGGATCAGTCAAATCCACATCAGGCCCATCTCTGAATGATCTTTTGCATACAGGCCCAGCAATTCAACCCAAATTATTCAACATTTTAATTCACTTTCGTTTTTTAAAGGTTGCCTTGTGCATTGACATCTGTAAGATGTACCGCTGTGTCCGAATAACGCATCCAGATCAATTTCTGAAGTTCATCTTATGGCGTGATCACCAAAATGAAAGCATGAAAGCATGAAAGCAGAAGTACACCCTGGATACAGTAACGTATGGAACCAAACCCGCTGCGTTTCCAGCAATTCGAGCGATGCAGCAGCTGGCCCACAACGAAGAGCCTACCTTTCCTTTAGCTGCAAAGATAGTTTGTCGCGACTTCTACGTAGACGATTTAATTTCTGGAGGGGACTCTATAGAAGAAGCGATTCAGATCCGACAGCAAGTAAAACTGCTACTGGCTAAAGGTCACTTTCCAATCAGAAAGTGGTGCTCAAACAAGGAAACATTGACAAGTGCATTCAGTTCGAATGTAGATATCATTGCTGGACCGACTCAACAGTAGCGCTTGCATGGATTCGTGATTCACCTTCAAAATTTAACGTCTTTGTATCCAATAGGGTATCACAAATACAGGAGCGGACCAAGGGCATGACCTGGCATCATGTACCCCCTCAGCTGAACCCTGCGGACATTTTATCACGTGGATGCACACCTTTGGAACTTTTAGAGTCACAGCAATGGCATAATGGACCCCCATTCATACAGGCCGCTAGCTTGACTTGGCCTCAAAACGTCGCCTATCCCTTTAAGCTTCCAGAACGACGCCAGATAGTACTATTAACGAAGACGGACCTATCGGCATCTTGCAAATTCAACAATCCATTGCCAAGTTACAGAGCACTTTCGCATACGTGTATCGATTTATAGCGCTAAAAAGATCTGATTCGACGAGATCAAAAGGTCCACTCACTCCAGATGATATCCAGTGCGGAACGCATTTACTTATAAAAAACATTCAACTCACTCACTTCGCCGAAGAGTACAAAACACTCAGCTTAAAAAGGCCGCTTCCAACAAGAAGAAAACTTCGTTCAGTGGGCCCATTGTTGGACGCTGAGGGACTCTTGCGCATCGGCGGGCGCCTTCAGAACTCAAACTTGGAATATGAAGCAAAGCATCCGTTATTGTTGCCTAAACGCCACCCAGTCACCGCAGCTATGATCCCATATTATCATTTGGAATTTATTCATGCTGGTCCGCAATTCCTTTTAGCAACACTCCGCCAGCGATACTGGCCCATCGGAGGTCTCAAGACTGTCTCAAATATCATCAACAGGTGCGTGCGCTGCTTTCGAATGCGACCTAAACTTCTGGAGCAAGTCAAGGCCCCGCTACCAGCTGAGTGTGTGCAGCCAAGTCCGACGTTTCACGTAACTGGCATCGACTTTTGCGGTCCTTTCTACGTCAAATCAGAGGTCAGGAATCGCTCACCAACAAAATGCTACATCTCAAGCAACGCCACCCCGTTCGCCACATTTTGGAGGATTGTGGGAGGCCGCTGTCAAATCAGCAAAATATCATTTTTACCGCGTCGTTGGAAATTCTCTTCTCTCATTCCACGAATTCCGAACTCTCATCTTTCAAATATGCGCAATGCTTAACTGGAGATACTCACGCCTAGGCACTTTATCTAGGGCAAGCTAACTATCGACGAGCCAGACATAACGCACCTAAGCATAGGTCGCCTCAGCCGTTGGCAGCGAATATGTCACATGCGGCAATCATTTTGGAAGATATGGAGTACATCGTATTCGTCGTTGCTCCAAGAGCGCGGGAAATGGCAATCGTCCAAGCAAAATCTTCAGGCCGGCAGCATCGTGCTGCTCAAGGAGGACAATGCACCACCACTCAGGTGGCCGCTTGGTCGAGTCGACAACGTCATCGCGGGTGACGACGGCATTGTGAGAGTAGCAGTCATTCGTACACAAAATGGTCTGGTCAAGAGAGCCATTGCCAAAGTCGACGTTCTGCCAATCGAGACCACATCGGTTGAAAGCTTGTATCTTCCAACGGGGGGAGCATGTTCGCAGCAGAACGCCCTCTGAATAATATTATATCTGAATTACAATATATCCTTACTACTCAAATCACGATATTGAAGTCACATACTATTATTTTTAAGCCACCATAAAATACTATAGTAAATTGCTCATCACTAATCTATCG